CCACCACAACGCCCGGCTATTTTTTGGTTGCAGCCATTATTGTTGTTTGGCGGGTCCGGGCTGGATTCGAACCCCCCACCTTAGGTGTATGTGGCTGGCGCCTTAGCCACTTGAGCCACAGGCGTCGAGCCGCTAATTTAATTTTTAACTTGCCTTTTTTTGTGATTATAAATAACAGTGCAGTGAACCTTCTGTTGTTCATGAACATTTTCATTCTCTTTTCCTCTTTTTTTTTTTGCTATTTTAAACCATATTGTTGTGGACATCCTGGACTAAGCTCTCAGCACACTTGTGGGAGAGTGTCATAGGAATCCAGGAGGTAACTTGCTGGGTGATAGAAGATGCAATGTTCATTTTGTATGTTGCCAAATTATTATCCATAGTACTTAACGCTAATTTATAGTCATGGCAGCAAATAACGCTATCATTTATTAATTCTTTACCTTTAATTTTCTTAGTCATTCTATTCTTCCTTCTTGGCAGTCTCAAACAGAGGTAATCTTGTCCATTTTCTTGCCAAACATATTTCAGACCCTGGTGGATTCACCCAAAGACTAACATAACTTCCCCATGACACAGTCCCCTGACAGCTCAGTGGTAGCATTTCTTACCACAGATACAGTCAGTGACTTTATCAGATGCTCTACTTCACTTCCTCCAGCAAGTCCCAAGGTTTCCTCTCTGATCTACAGACCTGTTCTCAAAGTCCTTGCATGTGGCATGCTCACACACACACCACTGTATGTATTTGCCATATCTAAGTATAATTAGTCTTGGATGATTCTAGTTTTGAGATTTATCCAACCAGAAGGTGTAGTTCCCTCATAATTCAGACTCATACTATATACTTAGGTTTTTATAACAATTGTATTTATACCAAAACTAATTGAGAACAAATACTGTGCTAGGATTTTTCTTTTATTACTGATGGATACTCTGACCCTACACCTGTATTGATTCCAATCATTAGTCACTCTTGGGTTCTTTCAGCAGAGAAGCAATAACCCGTGCTTTGCATCTTGTATTGATCACAGACACTGAAGTTTAAGAAGGTCTCTTTGCTGGGGTGGAGCGATGGTGGCATCACCGCACTCATTGCTGCTGCAAAGTATCCAGCTTACATCCACAAGATGGTGGTCTGGGGCGCCAACGCCTATGTCACTGAGGAGGATAGCGTGATTTATGACGGTGGGTTCTGCCAGTCAGAGATGCCTTGATAGTGGATGACTGTCTTCTCTCCCTCCTTCTCGTCTCTTATTTTGAGAAAAGTCGTCTCTGCTTCCAGTTCTCAACTCTAAGTTAGGAAGAATAATGAGTTCTCAGAAAAGTGTGCAATTCAACCAGTCTGGGTTTAGAAATAAGAAAGTCTAAAGCTTTCTACTTCCAGGAGTGAAACTTTTATGACTCAGGAAAAGGCGAAGTAAGAGCAATATTTCCATTTACTGTTACTGACAGTGAACTTCAAGGAAGGAAGAGGTGATGTGAGGTGTTATTAATAACCTCAATGTCTGTAGAAAAGGTAACATCGAATTCACATATGAAACCTTATTGTTTTCATTAAAAGAATTTTTGTGCTATTCAGATTTTTTAAGGTTGTCCTTTGAGGTTTTCTTCAAGGTTTTTAGATACACTGAAAAGTTAAATCCAGCCTGCCACCTGCTTTGTAAGGCCTGGGTACCAGCCAAGGAGGCTAGTACTGCGAGTCACAGTGACCAAGCCTTCTCTCCCAGCATTGCTTGCCCAGGGCCTGTGCTGGTGGCCACTTTATGTGAAGGACTATTGGAAGTCACCAGGCACCCAGGCATGAAACAGCAGTCAGCAACTCAAGAGTTGCTCAGCCTCCAACAAGCTGCCCACATTGAGATGAGGCTCTCTGGAGAAGAGAAGGGTGCACCAGGATCTGGAGGATGCTGAGGCAAAACATGAAAACTGACTCGGGCTACCCCACTACTACCACCTGCCAGCTTGGTCCACCAGGACCCTCCTTTCCAGGCTGGTAGCTTTTTGTCCCAAATGTGATCCTAGTGGACTCCAGATGGCCCTTCCCAGGGACTAAGGATTAGGCGGGTCAGGTGTTTTCCCTCCTCCTATGTAAGTATCTGTGTAATGTCTTTTATTTTGCCTCTTGGCCTGCACAGCCTAAAATATTTACTCTCTGGTCCTAGAATATCAGAAGTCTAGTCTTTTTCAGCTATTCTAAAGTTTACCTGACTTGGGAGTGTTCTATTGTAAAATCTTAGTTCTTAATAGTCTATTTGTTAAAGAAATATAAAACTCTTAAAAGGTGAGTCTGATGTTGTTACCCATGCTACTCTGTACTCCGGCTTGTCCTTACGTGTTCCCACTGCTGTCTGTCTTGTGCAGGGTGAGACATTCCACTCTGTTGCTGGTCTTCTCCCCCACTGCCTCTCCAACAGGCTGCCTTCGGCTCTGCCTCCCTCGCCTGTGGTATTGACTCCTCTCCACTAGATCCTCACTCTCAGCCCACAAAGAAGTCACTCCCCTGACCTGTGGCTAATGCCTTCCCATTCTCTCTCCTTTCCCACAGTTGTGTTGAAAGCGCCGTCTTCTTTCTCTGCTTCTACATCTTCTCTACTTCCTTCTTCAGTCCACTCTGGCCCATCGCCCGTTCTACTCCATTACCGTCCACTCTGGCCCATCGCCCGTTCTACCCCATTACCGTCCACTCTGCTAAAACTGTTCTTGTAACGGTTTAATCCCATTGGTTTAGAAAACATACACTGTATGATACTAATTCTTTTGAATTTTATTGGTTTGTTTTATGCCCCAGAATATGGCCTGCCTTGATCTAAAATGAACTCATTATTACATGGCCTTTCCCACACCCACCATCACTGCCCCAGTTGATGGCCCAGGGTCTGCTGGAGCATCTAAACCAGAATTATACCTCGGGGCCCAGTCCTCTTCTGCTCTCTTCACTTAATTCTGACCACATTCTGTTGGTACCATGTTCATAGTGCCTCTCAGTTATCCCCACCTCTGTCCTTCTCATCATTTTCCTGATTCCGGCCCTTGGCCTCTTAGGGTAGTTTTGTCCTCCATAGGAAGAGTTTCTTGTCTAAGGGAAAAATCTGATCACTTAATTCTACTTCAGTACTTCAAACCCTTCAGTGACCTCAGTAAAGTCCAAGCAGCATGACTGGCCTTGTCCCCCTCCCTTTCCCTCATCCATCTGGGGCCTCTCCTTTGCGGGATAAACTGCCGTTCCTGAAGCAAGCTTTCTGATTCTTGCCTCTTTGCCTTTGTTTCTGCTGATATGCTGCTTTCACCTTTGCCTCCTGTGCTTACATCCAGCCTTGTGAAACTACCAGGTCCAGTTCTGCTTCCAGCTTCCTGTAAGCATGGCGGTGGGGCCAGCTCTGCTGGTGCACCTGCCCTCCTGTTCACTTGCTTGCTGGCTTCTGCTCTCCCAGACTGAGCTCATATACCACTGCCTGCCTGAGGGAGCCCTTACCACCATGGCTCCCTTTGAGCTCAAAGAGCCATTCTGTCACTGATGACAGTTGCTTTATTTCCACTGTTGCTATGAACATTTTCAGGAGGCTAAGGCAAGAAGGTGGATGGCCTGAGCCCAAAAGTTTGAGGTTGCTGTGAGCTATGACACTACAGCACTCTACCTAGAGCACCGAGTGAGACTCTGTCTCCAGTCAATCAATCAATCAATCAATAAGAAATATGGAAAAGTTTGGGCTAAGTAATTGTATTTATTGATTCACTGTAAAGGTTGTTTTAAGCTATTGTTTCTTTCCTACTGGCGAGTCAGCTGTAATATAGTTTGAAGTTACTAGTTAGCCTTTTATCCCTGTATTTCTTAGTAGCAGCAATTAGAATAATTTGTGTGTATTTCTCAATGTACATAAAAATGCAACTCAGAAAAAAACTCTTCTTTTGCAAATAATACCACTCTTAACTCAAGTAACCCTAATTAGGGAAAGCAAAGTCACTTATGATGGGCATGCAGCCTAGTGGGAGGCAGGCCCTTAGCTGTGGGTGCAGGAAACACTGCACAGCAGTGGTAAGTGCCAAGCCGAGCAGAGGGAGGGAGAGACAGGGGGTGGCAGAGAGGCATTCCAGGCAGACACAACAGTGAGCCTAGGGCTCAGAGGTGGCCCGTGATCAGATACCTGATTATGAGACTAAACTGATCTTTGTCTATACTTACGTTTTGCAGGGATCCGAGATGTTTCTAAATGGAGTGAAAGAACAAGAAAGCCTCTAGAAACCCTGTATGGATATGACTACTTTGCCAAAACCTGTGAGAAGTGGGTGGATGGCATAGGACAGTTTAAACATCAACCAGATGGTAGGTTTGTGGATAAGGGGAGGGTTGCTTTGCTGATTAGAGAGGGAGCTTGAGTTCTTCTCCTGTGTTCCAGAGTTTCTCAGTGATTCCTGTGTCCCAGAGCTTCTCAGTGATTCCCAAGTCCCCCTGTTGCCCTTATACACTCACTTGTGAACAGAGAATACTAGTTATTGTATAGAATGCAAGTTCTTATACAATAAATCTACCTTAACATAGAGACCGGACTGCAGGTGTGAAGGTTTATATTGGTGAGTCTTTAATAGCAGGCTGTTCTTTTTTCCATCTAATCCTTTGTGTGTGATGATGATAAAATAATTTGCCAGAAGCCTTGATCAGTTCCTCTTTTCTTTTTTTTTTTTTTTTTTGAGACAGAGCCTCAAGCTGTCCCCCTGGGTAGAGTGCTGTGGCATCACAGCTCACAGCAACCTCCAACTCCTGGGCTCAAGCGACTCTCCTGCCTCAGCCTCCCAAGTAGCTGGGACCATAGGCGCCTGCTACAACGCCCAGCTATTTTTTGGTTGCAGCCGTCATTGTTGTTTTTGGCCGGTCCAGGCTGGATTTGAACCCACCACCTTAGGTATTTGTGGCTGGTGCCTTAGCCACTTGAGCTGCAGGTGCCGAGCCGAGTTCCTCTTTTCTAATTCCAGAATGGATAATTAGAAAACAATAAGCCATAATATGTACAATATAGTTTTCCTTTTTACTCATTTAGATGTGTCACCCTACTGGGGTGCTCTGTTACCAGGACAAAAAGTTTCTGCCATAATTCTCAGCCCAACAGAATTAGGATGAGGAGGGAAATATTTAATTCTTTTCCCATCTTCAGCATTAAATGATATGACCTTAAGCATGAACAAATGTCTCCTATTCATTATCTGAAAAATTAATCAGATTTCCATTGACAGTAAGAGTTGACATCTTTAAAAGAAATTTTGAATTAAAGTTAATTTTTGTACAGCGATTAATGTTTATAATCTCTCATTTTTCTTTTCTTTTTTTTAATTGCTGGAAAAATACAGTAGCTAAGATCTCATCTTGGAGTACATTGTTACAAATTGTGATTGAAGGACCAGTTCTATCTATTAGTTAATCATTTCCTACATGAGTCATCTGCCAAAACTTTCACCAGGAACAGGACTTTTGGAAATGTTGCTCTTCTGGTTTAAGATGAGAATAGCACATATGTGCCTAACAATGATCCTGTTCAAATCCAGCAGCCGCCCATAAAAACATCTTTGAAATGTGTTTCTCTCTGCTCTTAAAACAAGAGAAATGCCATAAAACAATGTTTGAGATAGTTTTCCATTTAAGAGGGTGAATCTGTAAAATGCAAATTTTTATGCCTTTTTGAAGAGAGCAATGAAAAGATAGGGAGATTTAAAGGTAGAAATAGAGTTGAATCGGTAATTCAGAAGTATGTCATGATATAGAGGATCTAGCAGTGTATAAACCATCTCACAGCAAGGTTGTAAGTTATCCCCCTTCTGTACTAATTAATTTGATAGAAACTCTTCCACAATTGGACAGTCAAGTTTATGATGCTCAGTTTGGGAATTAATTGCACAGCTTTGGAGTCTGGCAGGCCTGAGTTTAAATTCTGGCTTTGACCGTGGCTTGGTATTAGAATGGATTTGAGCAGAAGACTTAGCATCTCAAAGCTATAGTTTCCTGTCTGTGACTAGACAAAACAATACCTACCCCATGGGCAGTGCCTGTGCCTTAGTGGGTAGCGTGCTGGCCCCATATACCGAGAGTGATGGTTTGAACCCAGCTCTGGCCAGCTAAAAAATAGCAATGACAATTGCAACAAAAAATAGCCAGGTGTCGCAGTGGGTGTCTGTAGTCCTAGCTACTCGGGAGGCTGAAGCAAGAGAATCACATAAGCCCAAGAGTTGGAGGTTGCTGTGAGCTGTGACACTACAGCACTCTACAGAGGGTGACAAAGTGAGACCCTGTTTTGGGGGGAAAAAAAACCTACCTTATACAGCTACTGTGGGAGATAAATGGCATGCTATCTGTTCAGCTTTGGGGCCATACCAAGGACAAAGTAAGTCCTTCATGAGAGGTTAGTATTATTGTTCTAAAAGTACTTAATGTAGAAACAATGACACCTGCTAAAACAGGTAGCTACTATAAGTGCTTAACAGATATGGAGTAGTTTAAATAGTTCCTGACACAAAATGAGCGCTCAGGAATATTGGTTTTCATCCTCATTATTTAATTATACATTGGCAAGTGTGGGACAGGAGAGGGACTCTTCAGAGACCTGGAGTATTTCCCCAGCCAGCTAGTCCCCTCCTTTTTCCCTGGTCAGCTGGTTCCTTCTTTGTGTAGCAAGGGGTGACCCCTAGCTGAAGAGCAGGAAAGGCCTGAGGCCTGGGCAGGGCAGGTCAGCACTGGGGACCCTCTCTGAGCTACAATGCTTTCCCTTTGACACAGGCAGAAGGAAGGGAGGGTGGAGGTGGAATGGGCTGCTTATGGATGCCAGGAACACTAGATAGGGCTCTCTTTATAGCCAGCCTCACGACAACCCCAGGGAACTGTGAGTGAGTGACCCTGTTTGAGGCTGAAACTTTAAGTGGGTGAGGAACCACCAAGATCTCACCAAAGCAGGAAACAGCATTTCAGGGACTGACACCCAGTTTGTACCGTAATTGCCTCAGAAATGTTAAAAATGGGATTAAGTCCTTACGGCCTCTCCAAAGCATGTTAGTTAGGAGTGTCACAGAGGCGTGAGCGATGAGGAAAAGCTTCTTTACTGCAGGTAAATTGCAGGTTCATGGTGAAATACATATGCCTTGAGGGCTGGCTGGGGCCCCACCACCATTTGAGACATCATTTTGAGGGAAAAGAGTCCCAGCTGTCAAGCACCTACCACTGTTTTATACACTGGGCTCTGCTCTTATGTAATACAAAGAGTTGTGAGGGTTTTGTTTGATTGCTTGTCCTATTATTTGGTAAGAACTATGAATTTAAATCAGGCAATGCTACTTGTTTACTAGGAAAGCTCAAAAACAAAAAACAGCAGAGAAACCAAAAGAAACCCAAAGAATGAGAGCTGGAAAGAACGCTAGGTACACTCAAATCCAAAGCACTGTTTTTCCAGTAACAGGGAAACAGAGGACCAAGGAAGGGGCTTGCCAAGTTCTGTTTCTTCTCACCTCCTAGAATGGTGACACGAAAGCAGATCCCTCGTGCTCTTTGTGCTTCAGGTAACATCTGCCGGCACTTGCTACCCCTGGTGCAGTGCCCCACCTTGATTGTGCATGGCGAGAAGGATCCTCTGGTCCCACGATTTCATGCTGACTTCATACATGAACACGTGAAAGGGTCACAGTAAGTCCAGTTTTACTGCCTTTGCACTCCCTGCCCAGAAGCCCAGAGTAAACAGGAGAAGCTACCAAAAGGGTACAAAGCAGAAGTTGGGTACACTCCCCTTCTCCCCATTTGCCAACACTACTGCTTTATTTAGGGTACCAGGGAGGACAGGAGCCGTGAACTGCAAGTAACAGCAAGTAATCGGAAGGAAACCATCCCTCCTTGTTTGCAAATGTGCTAATAGGTGCTAGGTCTTAGAACATGGGAGACGGTTTAGATTTGTATCAATCTTTGAAACAACTTCATATAATTTGGGATTTTTCAGTATAATTTGTATAAGATGCACACTCCCCAGTTTAAAAAAAAAAAATTGTAAAACCAAAAGAAGAAAACAAATTGTCTATTGCTTGCCACCCATTAAAAACTATCCTTATGAGCATTTTTTACATAGATATATTCTATCTTCAACTCTGAATCCTGATTTTTACCTCACTTATAATTGTATTGTAAGCTTTTTATTCATAGGGACACACTGTAATGAGAAAGCTGTTATTCAAAGTTACTAAATACCATCATGCACCAAGCCATGTTGGTAGCTCCCTCCATTAAGGAGCAGGTACCTATCGCTTGTTCTTTTGCTTCTTATTTCTGCCAACTGACCTGGGACATCAGAGACTGTCAGTAAAAATCCTGTTATTCAGTCCCACAAACGTTTGTATGAAATCGAAGTTTGTATTTTAAATACTTTGAAATAGGAGACAGCTTTTGCTGGCACTTTTATCAAGATGGAAATTCAGAGCTGAATAAGTTCATTGTCTCCACTCTGTGCGGTGGATCCATATCCTAGCGGTAAAAATGAGGGGTAACTGGGAGATCAGGGACCCAGTTTGCTTTTTTAGAAAATAAACATCCACCTACGCCTTGATCCCTTCAGAGCCTGTGTATTAATTTCACACACCTCTGAATTACTTCAGGACAAGTTGGAAATTCTACAGAGTTCTTTTGAAATCGGATTTATAAGCAACCTCTCTCTCTTCCTCTCTTTTTTCCCCTTTTGCCCCTGACTCTTCCCCTCTATAAGCCGGTTCCTGCTGAGGGTAGCACTGCCCTACACGGGTAGCGGTGGGCTCTGTCCTCAGAGCTGCTGCAGTCCTGCAGGGAGGGTTCTGAAAGGCCCAGAAATGGTTCCACAGCTTCCTAAGATTCTATTCTGTGCAAGGTTCAATAATGGGTGACTCTGAGAATATTTAAATGAGGGAAAAATGCTTCTTAGTCTGTAATAAAATACAGATACCATAAATCTGTATCATTCCTATATCTATATAGCATTTTTTTTTAATTAAAAGGCATGTCTTTCTTTCACATATTTTCTCCTATACCAGTTTAGTCCCGTATCAGAAAAATACATTTGAGCATGTGTAACAAATAATCCATTTGACTGGAATATGGAAGAAGTGAAGAATAAAGGTAGAGGTTAGGTTAGGATTATCTTGTAGGTAGACATAAAGGTTTAGTGGAGAAGCTATACATTGCTTTAGTAGGCAATAAAAGATATTTTCAAACTAGACATTTATAAAATTATAATACTAAGTCCTGGTCATGGTACAGAATTCAAATAATATACTTACTAATCCTTCCAAAAGTTTTCTATCCCATCTCAGTTTTTGTGTTTTCTTCTATATATTTGCAGTGTACAGTGTGATGTTTCCAAGTAGCATCTTAACATTTTAAAAAGTATTTTATATACCATAGCTAGTTATTCTTAATGACAAGCTTATGAAAAAATTACCCATTTTACAGAGAGGAAATCGGGGCTGCGAGACGTTAAGCAATCTTTCAAGGTTACATAGCTGGTAAATGACAAATCCTCTCTGTTTTTTTCTCCTCATACAGTGCTTTTCCACCATAGCACAGCTGCCACTTACAAGTGTATTTTTAATAAGATGATAAGATGCCTGTGGTAGTGTGACCAGGTGACCTGATTAATCATCTTCTAGCTGCAGAAATGACAGGTTTTGCACACTGAGACACGTGGCAAGTATAGTGTGTGTGTGCCCTTTTATAAAGAGCCAGGTTCAATAAAATTCAGCCTGTAAGAAAGTTTAATTTAGGAATTCTGTTCCAGATCCATCTCCTAGCAACAGAGTACATCAGTATTGGAGAAAAACACACCCTTGCCATGTACATGTTCATGGTTTGAGTACACTATTTTATGGAAGAGAATTTTCTAAGAGCAATAATCTTTAGAACAAATGCATGGAGGGTAAAGTATTATTAGCAATAACTATCTAAAACAGGTTATATTTTCTACTTACTACCTTCCTGTACTGTGAGGTCCCTTTATGTTGGGCATGAACCTACCTAGAATATGGTTGGTTTATTTTGGACCCCACAAAGGAAAGTGGATTCCTTGATTACCAAAATCCTACTGTGTTCTGTGCACCAGGCCATCAGACAACAGAGAAGCAAGTTGATGTAGCAAGCTTACGGTGAACTTGATATTTAATTACCTTGCCAGTATATATTTTTTTCACTACAATTTTTACATTAGATAATGTGCCAATGTCATAACAAGGTTCAAAAGAGGCACAGATCACACATTCACGTGAACACCTAGTCATCATGCTTGTGACGTACAAAAGGATTGCCAGGTGCATTGTTTTTCTTTTTTTTTTTTTTTGAGACAGAGTCTCACTTTGTTGCCCCTGGTTGAGAGCTGTGGCATCATAGCTCACAGCAACCTCAAATTCTTGGGCTCAAGCAATTCTCTTGCCTCAGCCTCCCGCATAGCTGGGACTACAGGCGCCCACCACAATGCCCAGCTATTTTTAGAGACAAGGTCTTGCTCTGGCTCAGGCTGGCTCAGGCTGGTCTTGAACCTGTAAGCTCAGGCAATCCACCAGAGTGCTAGGATTACAGATATGCGCCACTGCACCCAACCTGGTGCATTTCTTAATTCAACTTAAAGGCACAGTCTGTCCTTTCACAGATTTTTACCAAGAAATACATATTATGTGTGAAACAAACATCAAACCACTTTTCCCTCCTCAGGAAGAGGCCAAATGAAGGGTGTTGCTACTCAGCAGACCTGCTTCCAGCTTTTGTTAATTTGTCTTTCTCTCATAGACTCTCTTGGAAGCAAAGAGGCCTTAGAGATCATTCAAGTTCAATATTTTAGGGGGTTTTATTGTTGCTATTGTTGCTACTTGTTTTTGTAAGAGACAAGGTCTCATTCTGTTGCCAGGCTGGAGTGCAGTGGCGTGATCATAGCACACTGAAGCCTCAAAATCCTGGGCTCAAGTAATCCTCCTGCCTCAGTCCCCCAAGTAGCTAGGGCTATGGGTGTGTGCCACCACACCTGGCTAACTTTTTAAATTTTCGGTAGAGATGGGATTGCAGTATGTTGCATAGGCCAATCTTAATTCCTGGTGTCAAGGAATCCTCCCACATAGCTGTGATTACAGGCCTGAGCCATCATACCCAGTAGGTTCAGTGGTTTGTTTTTTTTTTTTTGAGACAGAGGCTCAAGCTGTCCCCCTGGGTAGAGTGTCGTGGCATTACAGCTCACAGCAACCTCCAACTCCTGGGCTCAAGCGAGTCTCCTGCCTCCGCCTCCCAAGTAGCTGGGACCACAGGCGCCAGCCACAACGCCTGGCTATTTTTAAGGTTGCAGCCGTCATTGTTGTTTGGCGGGTCCGGGCTGGGGATTCGAACCCGCCACCTTAGGTGTACTTGGCTGGCGCCTTAGCCAGTTGAGCTATAGGCGCCGAGCCGGTTCAGTGGTTTTAAAATACATTTTTAGGTAGTTGAACTCCTCCCCTAATAGGCTTTTATGTGGAAGTCCAAGATACAAAACACAAAATGAGGGCCACTCAGATCATAGCAGTGATGGGGAGCAGGCCTCAGCCCCAGTGCCTGTATTTGCTGCGCACACAGCCCTCCCTCGTGGATGGAAAAGCACCGATGTTGCCCCCACCTGCCTGATTAACAGCCCTCTGTGTGGGCATCTCCTGCCGCCAGGTGTGACATCATCCTCAAGGCCAGCCTAGCTCCGCTCTCAGAGACTTCCTAGGAGCAGTGGTTGACCCCTTAGACTCTCCGGGGTTGGTGTGGATAGGTTATAGGAGGCAGTGGAGTTGAGACAGGTCAGAAGACAGTGTGACTACACAACACAGTCCAGCCAAATGTGTGCTCAGGATGTGGAGCAGTTAGCTAGGGCTGCTGTCACAGACCATAGACTGGGGGACTCCAACCACAGAGATTTACTTTCTCACAGTTTTGGAGTTCAAGATGAAGGTGTGGGCAGGGTTGGTTCCTCCTGAGGCTTTCTGGTCAGCTTGTAGATGGCCATCTTCTCCCTATGTCCTCACATGGTCTCCCCTCTGAACCTGTGTCCAAATTTTCTTTTGTTATAAGGTCACCAGTCATAATGGATTAGGACCCATTCATGTGACCTCATTTCAACTTAGTTTTCTCTTTAAAGACTGTCTGTCCAAATAATGTCACACTCTGAGGTAGCAGGGGTTAGGATTTCAAACCTATTAGTTTGGAGTGCAGGCACAAGTCAGCCCACAACAGTGTTCCTGAGCGGGTGCTCAGATCTCAGGGGTTAGAGGCCTAGCACAGATCAGGTTCTGGCCTGCTAATGCCTGGAATCCTTCTCCACCCCTCAGCCCTTTCTTTGCCTGCCTGAGTGCTTCTCCTATAGCCCTTTCTTGAGTATGTCCTCCCCAGTGAGGCTCCCTGGGTTCCGCCTTCCCTCATACATCTTCCTGAGGTCATGTAGTTCCTTATTCTTACCTTTTCAGTGACTGCTGGCATGGGAATGTAACTTTCCTCCTGGTGAACACTCCAGCACCTGTCCAAGAAGCAGCCTAGAACATCTTAAAATACCTACTGCAGGTGGAGAGAGAGAGAAAATGAGAGTGAGGCACACAGAGTGCTGAGTCTCTGTGGCTGGGGTCCCCAGGACTGGTTCTGAGAGCCAGGCCAGGCAGGAGAGAAAGGCCGGGTGCACAAAGAGTTGGCACCTGGGGTTTGTGTCAGCTAAAGGGGAGAGGTAGAAAATGGAGCCTTGCCTGGAGACCACAGTCAGTGTCTGGGATTCTGAGCAGTGGGCTTGGTTGGAACACCAGCAAGGACTCAGACCAGCCAGAATTGAGTGTGGAATAGTCAGTAGCATGTCCTGTTTCTACAACTCTGTGTCCTCATGTGCAAAGTTCTAGCTTCTCAGAATTTTTTTTGAGGAATGATTGAGGAGGTATTTGTATATTTAAGACTTAGAACTCAACACACAATAGCTGCCACTTTTGCAGGTGGAATGCTGGTGTGGGTGCAGGTGGGCAGGGTCCCCAGGAGATATCAGGTTATAGCTTAAAGTTAGGTCAGGGGCAAGGTGCCCTTTGTCCCAACTTTCAGCACTATTATCAGTGTAGGTATCTGGGTATATTAGGGTTCTCCAGGGAAACCAACAATATGAGTGTATGTGGGTGTGTGTGCACACACATACATAGAAACAGATGTGTGTGTGTGTGTCATAAGGAATTGATTCACACAATTATGGAGACTGACACAACCCACGGTCTGCAGCATGAGTTGGCAGGCTGGAGACCAGGAGAGCTGAAGATGTGGTTCTAGTCCAAGTCTGAAGGCCTGAGAACCAGGCAGGCAATGGTGTAGTTCTCATCTGAAAGACAGCAGGCTTGAGATTCAAGAAGAGAGATGTTTCAGCTTGAGTTCAAAGGCAGAAAAAAGCTGATGTCCCAAGTTGAACACCACCAGGCAAGAGGAATTCCCTCTTTACTCAGCCTATCTGTTCTACTCAGGCTTTCAACGGATTGGACAAGACCCACTCATTTGGGGGAGGGCAATCTGTTCTATTCAATATACCAATTCAAAAGTCAATCCCATCCAGAAGCACCCTCACAAACACACCTGGATAATATTTGACAAATGTCTGGGCACCCCATAGTCCAGTCACGTTAGTACATAAAATGAAACACCATGATGGGGAAAGGCTAATGGGTGCATGCTTTTCTCCACAGAGGCCCTGGCCTTGTGCCGAGTTCACTGGAAGGGGATGCCAGCAGGGATTGGGCTGGCTAGGGTGGGGTCCCTCTGCTATCCTAAGTCTGGAACACAGAAAGGAGAAAAGGGTCTCTTTCTGCAGCTTCCTTGACTGCAAGGAAGTAAGTCAGGCCACCAGTTCTGAGATGGCTGCATTTCTCTGAAGAAGGCCACTGGGAGCTATACCACAAGCTGCAGTGTAGTGAATTGACCTAGGTGAAAAAGATCCATACCAGTGACAAGGCTTTGTTTTCTTATCTGTAGAAAAATAAGGCCAGCTTCTGGGAGGGGAGGTAGGTACTGCAGGCAGGGTGGTGGCTGCCACTTCAGCTCTAGACTACGTGTTGCCTGGAGGTAGTAGGCTGTTCTTCCTTCGCCTCCTGCCAGGTGACCATTTCCTGCTTTCACAGTCCTCCTCCTCTCCAGCTGCCTGCTGCTTGGGTAGAAGAGAAAACTGTCAGCTCCAGACTCTGCTTGCGGTCACACTGCAGGACTAACTCCAAACAGAATTAGCCAGTGCTTGCATAGTCAAGTTCCTTATATTTCAAAGAGTTTAACCCTTTTTGTCCAAATCTTACCCACAAAATTTTGTAAAAGCTCTTTTAAGGGAAGACTCTGTCAATTGGAGGTGTTGTTAGTCAACAAATGTAGATAAACTGTGTTCCCTTGAGTCAGAGCATTTCTTTAACATGCTGTACATAATTAGAACCTTTAAAAGGGTTTTGGTACATTGCAAAGTGCAATACCAAGAATCATAAAATAGTAAATGTTTGTTAAGTGCTCACAGACCCTGTGCTCACTTACTATGTGCTCACAGACCCTGTGTTGTGTACATAGTCTCATGAGGTTTTATGCACCCTTGTATGCACCCTGTGTACCTGTGTGCACAGCCTCATTTCATCCTTGTAATAATCCTGTGGGGTAGACATTTACTATCTCCATTTTCCAGATGTGGGATTTTGAATCAGGGAGATGATGTAACCTGCCAGTGTAGATTCTATGCTGGTCAGCCCAGACGTGTCCTGACTCTGTAAAAGCACCTTTCACCTGTGATGGCACCACCAAATTACATTCAGTAGCCACAGGAAGAAAGCTTTCACTGTAGCCTGAGGGCCCCAATGAGGTTCCCACAGTCCCAGCAATTTTGAAAGGATTTGTCCTCCTCGCACCATTTAAAAGCATCCATCTAGGCCAAGTGAGGTGGCTCAAACTGTAATCCCAGCAATTTGGGAGGCCAAGGTCCAAGGATTGCTTAAGGCCAGGAGTTTGAGACTAGCTTGAATAACACAGCAAGATCTTGTTTCTAAAAAATAATAATAATAAAAACATTTAACTAGAAGCTCCTGACTGTTCAGAAGCAAATAGTCCACTCCAAGCTGTTGCATTGCTGAAAAAGCAGCCTTTGAGGTAGTTTTTTCCTTTCTGATGCATGAGACATAGTAGCATTTGAAAAAGGAGCTTCTTAGGAAGACATCTGCCCCTCCATTCCCAAATGTCTGGTGGTCCTCAAGCTGAAAGGGGGGAGCCACACCCTCCCAGCAGCTTGACCAACTGCAAAGCATGTGGCTTGCCCATTATTACCTTTTTTTAGATGGGGTTTTCTAGAAGGAGCAGAATAAAAAAGGAAAAGGTTTAGTTTCTGAATAAGAAGGGGTTGGAACCAGGTTTGATATTCTCGGAAGGAATGCATGAAAAAGTGAGCAGCCTTTTGCCAACAGTTTCATAATGGAAAAAGTCCTGGTTCAAAGAGCCAGCAGCCTACTTTGATTTCCAATTAAAGCAACAGTGCTCACAGACTGACTGGCAGCTTTCTGGGTTGAGAAATAACTTAGTTTTATCACACTAATCCAATGTGAAGACATGGTACAGCACATTGCTTATGGCCTTGTACTATCTTGGAGTTACAGCTGGAAGTTCAGTGAAGCTGAGAAAGGTTTGGATCAGGAAGGAAAGGTAACCTCATGAGACTAGCATCTCACCTGTGCCATCTCCACCTACCAGGACTGTATCAGCAGAAGAAAAGTGAACCCTAATTTATACTGTGGGATTAGATAGCTTCTAGTTCTTCATAAGATGAGGCAGGCATTAGACCTCTTTTTCCAAAGGTGCCAAATGCAATAAGGAACCTGCCCCAGCTAATAGGAACTTGTCTTTAACCTCTCAGAGGCCCTTTCATTTTCTACTGAGCCGTGTTTTGGGCAGTGGGGGTTTCCTACTGATTTCCCTGAAGAATGTGATCGTTCTAAAACCACTCTCCATGGAGTATGTGATTGGGTCCTTTTGTTATTGGGGTAAAAACATAGGTCAACAGCAGAATTCCTGTCTTGCCTTGACAGCTGATATTTATGCTTGTCTATTGTAGTCCTGGGGCTGGGTTTGAACCCGCCACCTCTGGCATATGGGGCTGGCGCCCTACTCCTTTGAGCCACAGGTGCCGCCCACACACAATTAAGTTTTTCAGTATAGTGAATCCTGTGTCACACCTAAAGGAGAAAGGTGTACTAAGGAGCTTGACATGATCCTCAAAGGTATCGTCCATCCATCCAGTGTCCAGAGCAGGTCTCCTATATTATAATGAAGGGAACCTGGTTGTTATTCCCCCAAATTTAGAGATTATTTTTGGATGAGTGTAGACAGTATTGAATGACTATAAAGAAGGGATTCACAGCTGGTGGTTTGACCTTCCTTACCCTTCAGAAACTAGCAAATCATAGCCAGATGAGATAGGTACAGAGGAAGATATCAAGTGTAGCAACTCAGCTTAGTACAGATTAGAGTTTAGGTATGTCCTTCTGTGACCTCCTAGCATCCCGGCAATTCTTTTCTGTTTCCTAAAAACACTTTGAGTGCACCTGCAAACCATATTCCTTGTGTAGGGCCACATTCATACTTCTTTTCTGAATAGTATTAAAATTAAATTTACCATGTTCTAGTTATGAATAGCATTAACTTTCAAGGGCCTTGGAAATATGCTAACAATATATCTTCAAGTTGATTTTCTTGGTACCCCATCATCACCCCCGATGTAGCTGAGTTCCAAGTCCTCCCTAGTGCCTCCCAGTGTTGAAAGTCAGAGAATATAGTAACTGTAATCTTGCCCCAATAGAGTCCCTTTTAATGTCCTGTTGTCATTATAGACAAAATGGCTGCACCTTGTGCTTACATCCCAGAAGTGTTAACACTTAGTGACTATTTCTCTGCTTTTGCAGCTATAACAAATAAAATATAGAACTCAGAGAAGGTTGCCTTTGTTAAATAAATAGCAAACCAGTTCCATTTGATCAAAATCCTGTTGAAAAGCATCAGCTTTACGAGAACAAAATTTGCCCCAATGCTGAGCCATGACAGCTGCAGCAGTGGCTCCTAAGCGCAGGGCCCTGACACAGGTCCCCACCCTCACTGGCCTAAGGAATTTTGCCATTTGTCTGGTGGTTTGTATTCAGACTTATTCAGTAATCCAAAAAAGGTAGGGTGATTTGGAACCTTGAACAGCAGACTGGTGGCTGCTGTGAATTCTGATTTGCACTTTCCCACTACATAGATAATATCAAGAAACTCACCTGCTCCAACCCAGTGGATTCTGCACATTTCTCAACTTTCCAATCTTCTCACTTAAAATCAACTTCATTAAAATAGATTTTATTAACGTAACCACCAAATCACCTTCCCCACTCTCAGTTTTCTAGTCAAACCACATGTTACCTTATTCCAGATGCAGTACGTGTATCTTGTTAAGCCATTGCCTTACCGTTAACCTCCACAGTGGGCATAAACTTCAGGGGACTTTACCCTCCTGAAGTACATTCATGGCAAGTTAATATTGCTATATATTTTTTCCCTAACAGTGGTCATGGCAAAAAAGTAACCTTTTTTCACTTTAGATTTTCATGAAATGTTGGCAAAGATAAGGTGCCGCGACCCGTCAGGCTCCTGTGGCCCTGATCTCGGTTAGCGCAGGAAGGAACCAGGCGAGAAGCGGATTAGAAGTACAAGCTTGTGGAAGGCGGGCTAGCCCTTACTTTCCGGGTAGCCCCGAGCAACCTCCGCACCAGCCTTTTATTGAAAGGGAATGATACAGGTGAGGGGAGTAATTAATAATGACCAGGTGCTGAGGGCACGGGCTCCTCCCACAAGGAACTCCTGTGGAGGAATGGCCCGAAGTCCATGCCTCAGCTGCAGATCATCTTGCTTGGATGTTGGCGTCTCCTACAATGAGGGGTTTTTAAATGGCTTGTTATTGATCAAAAGTTTTTCCCCCCTTTTTTAGGTTGCATCTGATGCCAGAAGGCAAACACAACCTGCATTTGCGTTTTGCAAATGAATTCAACAAGTTAGTAGAAGACTTCCTACAATGAAAATGTCCAGAGAACATCGGCTCTTTAGTTTGGGACTAGATCATGTTGCTGCCTTATTAGGAAGCTTTTGAAACTCCTCCACTGGGTCACACAGTCACCTTCTTCCTAGGATTCCTACCCTCCCCCTATAATCTGATTCTAAAATCATATAAAAATAACGACATACTGAAAACAGCCTTTATCTTCAACAGCTACAAAAATTAAATCTGATTTTTTAACATTAAGTTGTAAATGTCTGTCATTACGTTAAAAGGTAAATTCTTGCCACAGTTTGCATTATGTTCAAATAAGTTTTAGGTGGAACATTTGTACTCTTGGATGGCTAGAATTTTAGGACACCTTGAATGTATACTGTGCCTTTCATCTGAGAGGTCCAAGTTTCATTTGTTTATTTTTGTCACACTGTTCAAAGAGAAGTAGAAAAAATCCTTCCTTAAGGTCCTTGCTTCTACAGATTCATAGAAACCAGAACAACAAAAAGTCGGTTTGCTTTATCCTCAAATCATTATTCCTGGATCAATTTGAGAGATTATTCTAATACTTTGGGCCACTGAACATGAAAAAATAGGGCTGGGTGCAATGGCTCACACCTGTAATCCTAGCACTCTAGGAGGGTGAGGTGGGTGGATTGCTTGAACTCATGAGTTCAAGACCAGCCTGAGCAAAAATCAAGACCCCCCATCTCTGCTAAAAAATAGAAACACTGAGGCAAGAGGATCACTTGAGCCCAAGAGTTGCAGGTTGCTGTGAGCTATGACGTTGTGGCACTCTAGCCAGGCAACAGCTTGAGACTCTGTCTCAAAAATAAATAAATAAATAAATAAAAATATGTGTATATATATATATACACACACACATACACACACAGACACACACGTGTGTGTGTTTTCATCTTTTTGTACTAAAAGTACGGAATACTAATAAATAAAAGCATAAAAGCACAAATCGTATATTGCTATTAATATTAAACCTTGAAAACTTATTCTTAAGCAGCACTTAGTGAAAGAATAAAAATTACTTGACGTGAGAAGATAGACCACAAGGTTTTATACACATGCTTTTTTATTAGTATAGATATCTTAACAGACAATATTGTAATCTTTAGAGGAATTCCACATTATTACATCAACAGTGTCAATTTATAACAGAGGCAAAACTGAGCACCATAGTATACAAATAAAAAGACCATGCTTGAGGACAACAGAAGTTCACTAAGGATGCACAACCGATTTGACAGGTTCTTAAGCCTCATCCTCGCCCTCCTCCTCCTCGAACTCCCCCTGTTCATCAGCGGTCGCATCCTGGTACTGCTGGTACTCGGACACCAGGTCATTCATGTTGCTCTCGGCCTCAGTGAACTCCATCTCGTCCATGCCCTCGCCCGTGTACCAGTGCAGGAAGGCCTTGCGCCGGAACATGGCCGTGAACTGCTCCGAGATGCGCTTGAACAGCTCCTGGATGGCCGTGCTGTTGCCGATGAAGGTGGCCGACATCTTGAGGCCGCGGGGCGGGATGTCACACACGGCCGTCTTCACGTTGTTGGGGATCCACTCGACGAAGTAGCTGCTGTTCTTGTTCTGCACGTTGAGCATCTGCTCGTCCACCTCCTTCATGGACATGCGGCCCCGGAAGATGGCAGCCACCGTCAGGTAGCGGCCGTGGCGGGGGTCGCAGGCGGCCATCATGTTCTTGGAGTCGAACATCTGCTGGGTGAGCTCGGGCACCGTCAGGGCGCGGTACTGCTGGCTGCCCCGGCTGGTCAGGGGCGCGAAGCCCGGCATGAAGAAGTGCAGACGGGGGAAGGGCACCATGTTCACGGCCAGTTTGCGCAGGTCTGCGTTCAGCTGGCCCGGGAAGCGCAGGCAGGTCGTGACCCCACTCATGGTGGCCGACACCAGGTGGTTGAGGTCCCCGTATGTGGGGGTGGTCAGCTTCAGGGTGCGGAAGCAGATGTCATACAGGGCCTCGTTGTCAATGCAGTAGGTTTCATCTGTGTTTTCCACCAGCTGGTGGACGGAGAGAGTGGCATTGTAGGGCTCGACTACTGTGTCTGACACCTTGGGCGAGGGCATGACGCTGAAGGTGTTCATGATACGGTCTGGATACTCCTCGCGGATCTTGCTGATGAGCAGAGTGCCCATCCCAGACCCCGTGCCGCCCCCCAGCGAGTGTGTCAGCTGGAAGCCCTGGAGACAGTCACAGCTTTCTGACTCCTTCCTGACCACATCCAGGACGGAGTCTACCAGCTCGGCTCCCTCTGTGTAGTGGCCCTTTGCCCAGTTATTTCCGGCTCCACTCTGGCCTGCCAGAGGGAAAAGGGAATGTTAGACTGTAAAACATAAAGAATTTCACATTTGGTCATTTTGACTGTGGAGAAGGAGGTAGGCCCAGTCCTAGGGTGGCAGATTCTTCTTGTTTACACATTATTTACCTAAAATTTTCTTCTATATATCAGTGACCCACAAAAACAAGAGAGATAATAATAAAATAAAAAGTAAGTTTAGTTCATATGAAGCCTTTAGGTGAAAAAAACCTAATGGGCTTTAAAATATATGCATTTTAAACATGGACATTCTAAAACACTTAACTTAGACACAGTTAAACAGGATGTGATCAGAGAAAATGGCCCTGAGCAGTTGTCTAAACCTCTGGTCATTCCCTGTGCTTTGACCTGGGGCTCCTTCAAGTGGTTCCCTGTGGTCACTGATCCTTTGATACCACCTGTAGCCTATTAAGCCCTGTTT